GCATCACGTACGCACACGTACGTCACGGCGCGGGGATAGCTTACCACCGTTGGCATACGAGTCCTCCAGATCCACAGCATATCACCTCTGCCTGCCTGCGCTACGGATACAGATCTCACCCACACGGCTACACTGCCAGTCAGTCTACACTGCTACCTATCCTGCTAGGAGACATCAGTCGCCATGTCATTCACGCACTTTTCCCACCACGCCCCCTCACACCCCCGGGGTCTCTACTCCGCCTCCTCCTCCTCCACGGCCACGCGCCGCTTCCCCGGCGACTCTACCGACGACGATGACGATGATGGCGACCCTGGCTTCGATATCCCCCTGAGGATAAGACCGATAAACTCGAATATGGATAGGTTGTTATTTGGCGCTGCCGGCGGTGGAGGAGGTGGAGGGGGTGCCCCGGGGGGTATGCCTGCTCGTTTGAATTATGGGTTTGGGATGGGTGGGGGTGGGTGGGGGTCGAACTTTTCTGGAGGAAGAGGGGGTGGTGGGGGTGGGGGGTTTAATTGGATGGCGCCACCACCTCCGGCAGCTGCAGCGTCACAGGCGGCGGAGTCGGTTCCGAGGGGAATGGTGGGGTTGGGGCAGGGGGGGGATGGGCTTGTCGATGCGATGGGAGGAGTAAGGCTTACTGGTACCGGTGGGGCAGCGGGGGAGAGTATGCGGAGGAGAAGGGTAGAGGCTGAGCTGAGGGAGTTGAATGATGCTGAAAATGATGGGGATGCGGATGGAGAGGATGAGGATGAAGAAGAGGATGTCCCGCTCAAGTTGAAGACTGGTGGTGGGAGTGCGTTTGACAACTTACTTGCTGAGGTTCCCGCAACTGGGTCATCCTCCGCCCCAGCAACCACTACCGCGAGCGCACGACAACCCTCACAACCATCAATACCAACCCTACCACCACCCCTACCCGACAATCATCCCAACCTGCACGATCCCACCACCCCAACTCCCGCTGCCTCCGCACCCACAATTGGCTCAACCTCCCCGTACCCCACATCCACCGTACAACAACGTTCCACCCCCCAAACCCCAAAACACTGGAACGACCCCCCGCAGTCCCCTCGCGAAACCCCACTCACACCCCGCCCTATCCCCCTCCCACTGGACCTGTCACTCGCTGATCTTACCTGCTCTGACTCCGACTCTGAGGATGACAATACTAATAATAACAACAACAACACCACCACCGCAGCGCAGGGGAATCTCGTCACGCAAGGCGCGGGATCTACTCCCGCGCCGGGTGTGGTTGGGCGAGGACGAGTCAGGAAGGCGAGGGGGCAGACTCCGAACCGTAGGCTGACCGCCGCAGAGCTCGAGAGTCTGCCAGATAGGGAGTTGCTGGCGCAGGCATTGGCGGCGTTGGGCTATTGTGCGAGGAGGGAGGAGGAGGACGAAGAGGAAGGAGAGGATGGGAAAAGGGAGGAGGGGGAGGGAGATGCTGGGTTTGGGAATGAGTTTGCGAGTAGGGGGGGCGGGATACCTGGTGTTGGGAGGCGGGAGAGGAGTGCGGTGGGACAGGATGAGGAGCCGCTGGCGGGTGGAGTGAAGTTGAGGAAAGGAAGGGGGAATTTTGGGATGCAGTGGGGTGTCATGTGAGAGAAGCCCAAAATTTTGGAGACGGTGTGGTGATCTTTTTTTTTTTAACCATATCATTTTTTTTCTCGATTCGTTATTATTTGTTTTGTTTGATTGATGATGGTGATTTATTCTATTTTTTCTTTTTTTTTTCTTCTTTTTCCTTTTTTTTGTCCCCATTGTTGATGCATATCCACTCAGGTATCAATTCTACATTTCAAACCTTTTACTTTGGATTTTATTTTTAATTTTCTTTCTTGGCCTCGAAAAGAGGTTTGATTGAATATATGGCCTGAGGTATGTTTTTCTTCGGTTTGTCTTTTGATGACCTTGAGGATGATAATGATGTTATGAGTATCCTGTGTGAGTGAGTGTGTGAGTTGAGTGTGAGCATCCATGTGGAGTTGTTGTTGACCTCCCCCCCAAGATCTTCAAGGATGAAAATGATCTAGTTGAGGGAGCTCTCCACGTATAGGTTACTGTACTTATTTCTGGGGGCGCCAGTGGCCTCTGCAGAGGTGGCCTAGCCTACCTATGCTAAATACAGGAAGTTGCTGAAACTCAGACATTTGCATGAGCGTAGCGAATTGGCATACATGGGTTCCTTGGTAGGGTGTAGTAGAGGGACGGTAGATATATACTTTGAGCTCTGGAGCATTTTCGGCATACCGACAGGCCCAGGGCAAAACGCACCAATTGCAATTGCCAATTTCAATCACTATGAAAGATGGATTTGGTTGGACAAATTGCTTAGTGATTGCACCTCGCCATATGAGGTATTGTTATATATTTTTTTTCTTATACTTATAGGTACCAATTATACTTTACCTCAAAAGAAAGTTTTTTAGACTACTTTTGTGTGTTGGATGAATAAATTTTGCGGTTCAAAAAAAAAGGTTGCCTCCAAATTAAAATCTGACAACCTTCACTTCACTGCAATCCAGCAGAGTGCAAAAAAGATAACCTCTTATAATAGTTTCTCTATGAAATGACTTCAATTCCCCTCTGAGCCAGGCCCCCCCTCCCCCCTCCCCCCCTCCAACATGCCGCTGGACTCCCACGTTCTTCAGATTACAGACCCAATGACGGCGGAGTGAAGGGGGGTTTACTTCGACTGTAACAATGGTAGTAGTGTTCCGATGGAATCATGCATACATACCTACCCCCGGATCTGTTGGTTATGGGGTACTGAGTATGTATACCTGTCGGTCTATTATTGGTGAGCATATTGATATGTTGTGGTATACAAGATACCTACGGGGTACAGTCCACCACCGTGCTACGTAAGTATACCCGGCTGGTTGTCAAGTTTGTTATGAGTGAAGGGATCACTGTACAATCGGAATGGGCTAAGCCCAGAGCTAGAATACCTAAGGAGAATATTTATTTTATCATGCAACCGCTTGCTTGTTTTGTTTACAGCTAAAGGAGGAGGGCAGTTGGTAAATGATGCTGATACTCTTTTACTTCAAGGACAAGTTAAATCTACTGTATTCTGTATAAGCTAAAATCATATTTGCCTTTCAAACTGAGCCAGCAGCTAATATAGAATAACGGTGTCCTAAAGCGTGATGAAAAATCGCAATGAGACTCTTGGAATGAGTCCCCTTCATGTTTAACCTCCATATATATGTATTTATATCCACTACTGGGAGCTAACACGTCACGTCATCACAACTTAATCCCCAACGATGTGACCAACTAGTGTGAAACGGGTAAGCAGATCGCCCGTCATGATCACAAGAATGTTAGGATGGACCAGCTTGAAGTAACAACATTGTAAAACTGAATGATTGAATAGGTTAACACGAAAAGACTCCTCCGGCAATTTTACACGGACTTTAGAACCCTAACTATTTCATGTATCCGTAAATCTAACAATCGTCACTGCCACGCCAAATCTATCAAGGCAGCAGCTACCTACCAATACCTATCGCTCTAACGTAAAGTATTCCTAGATGTTTTTTTTTTTTTTCGTTACCGCAAGGTTTATTTTTCCGACAGTTAATCGAATGATGGACAGTAACCCTCATGCATATATATGCATTATATATTGATCATTCTTGACTGGGAATGAAATCCAACAATCAATAACAAGTGGAGAACGCTAATACTGTCATTACTAGTCTGAAACAACTCCGCATCCTTCAGCATCTTCTCTTTCGCACCCTCACTCTTCAATTCCACCGTGCTATACACCTCCATCAATTTCTCCTTATAGTTCGCAAACACTGGCCCCATAATACACATCAGCGTGGGTGGTGGGAGGTGCTTCGAAAGGACTTTATTCAATGTTAACGTCTCCTTTACTAGAGTCTCCCTCCATATATGTGTTGGGGTGGTCAGGCAAAGCTTCCCAGTGTTTATGGAGGGGAAGTTGCGGATATGTGCTGAAAGGCGGTCGCTCATGTGGAGATCAATTTATTATGGATTTCTTCCTGATGGTCTTGGTAGGCCTTCGCAAGGAAGGGTTAGTATTGTTTAAGAGCATATTTAAGTAAGACCATTTGACCTTATCAAACTCGGCCAATGGTCACTGCAGTGGAGCCGGCATGGCGGCGGGAGCATTCCCGTAAGTGCTCCAAACAAGCACGTTTACAACAGTATTGAGGAAGTTCAACAACACCGCTATTTTGCCGATACAGATTGGGAACGGTTACGCGAGGCCAAAAGCTCCCTTTGTGCCTGACTTGGACTCCGAGACGGATGCGGGTTATTTCGATGATTTCAGTAATGAACAGTATATGGCAAAGTAACAATTTGCAGTGCAGACGTTAACTTGCACATTAACACAACTGCACATCGATTTTTACCGTCTCATAGCCTCAGGCTCCACAGACGAATAGATTTCACAAAAAGAAAAAAAAAAAAAAAAATCGATTTTTAGTCAGTTGTAGCTGATTTCTGTTATGACATCCCCACAGAGAACACATGGTCATCCTTTAGATAATACAATAGCATTCATCCCCGCCCTATTCGTATCATTCTTATCTGCCACAAAAAGCTTCTCATCCATTCCACCACAGATATTCAGTACCTCTTACGGACTCAGCCCAATACAGCCCCCTTCCCCCTTACCCCTTCCCCCTTCCCCGGTCCACGCTGGCTCTCAATTATATAGTAAGCTTTCAACCCTGACTGCATCATCATCATTAAATACTAGCTAGAGTTATTCTGTAAGAGTTGTTCCGTCACGATCTATGCTTGCTGTATGGCTACTCATTTTTGATACATCAATGTATGCCTTACAGTTTTAGAATCTGCTGTAACGCTAATGTGAAGATGTAATATAACTATCTCGATGTCCATGTTCCGTAGCCATATTGCCGAACGTGAGCTACAAATTTTCCAAAATTAAAAAATAAATTCAAAATATAATCAATGGTAAATGATAGGGATAGCAAAAGTGAAGGTCGAACTGGGAGTCGAACCCAGGTCACAAGAATCTTTTATCAGTGATCAAAATCTTATGTGCTACCGTTACACCATTCAACCAAATTGACAATCTGAATGTAAGAATGTCACATATATTCGTGTTCTTAATTGGTAGGAGGTAACTGAATAGGGTTATGTGCTTGACCGCAGAGTTGTGCTTTAAGATAAGTAATTTCCCCAACATGACAAACATCTTTGAATTCCTCTGGACCACAAAAAATCTGGAATGAGCCTACGAGCCGAATTTATTGGGACAGGGAGGACATTTTCCCTTGCTTACAACTCCTAAGTGGCAGCCTGGACGGAATCAGAAATGCTCCCTATCCATTCCCTAATAATATTCCCTTCGCCTGCTTGATCTACTCATATTGATATTCTGCTCATCGCACATGCAATGTCAGCGCTAATGGGACTGGAACCAGCAAAGCTTTATTACGCATTCCGTCAGCAAATAGCTGGGAGTTTAGCGTAGTGCTGAGGAGGCGTATTCAGAAGAGACAGCGAGGATGTAGTAGTCCGCAGTTTGGGGTGATGGACTTCCCATGCTCACTCGCCGAAACTTCCGGTGCCTAGGGCCATTTTGCTCAAGATAGTATTTCTAAATATATTAGATGCCAATGTAGACTGCCAATCACATTGGGACCTCAAGTGCAACAATTTATAGAATAAACTTAAGCAACCTCAATATCTATACTCACTGCGAAGTTAAGCTTGCCGAATGTAAAGTGCTTGAGGTCAGTACCGCTGGGCGAACTGAAGAAACAAACCCTCGCTATATATCCCCCCTAATTCCGGTACATCGATGAATATACAACATCTCTAACTCTCAGGGAGGATAATCTCCATATACTCACCTGTTGTGACTTTGACGTAAATTCTCGACACCTTCAGCTCTTTTCGTGCCTTCTCACCAAACTTTGTTTGCCAATTTGAATCCCAGGGCTAAAAACAAGAAAATACAGCTATTCCCCTCATGATAGGTACATATCCGCTGATCACTCTTCTAGTAGTACCCATAATTTCAACCCTCTAACCCAAATATACCCTCTAGGAGAGCCATTCCACCACCACACGGTGGCCCATCCCCATTCTGCATGGCCAGTTGTCAATTCGTTTTGGAGGAGATTAGTGGGAAGGTTGTTCTCCGACAGTGTCAGAGTTGTGGCTTGATGAGCTGCACTAGGAGCATCTGGAGAATATGTGGCATCAATTATTGCAGCCTTGAACATGTTCTCTGGAAAGTGATATATATATCCTCCGCGACAAGCACCATTTATTTTAGCTGTTGTCGACGCAAATGAGTGTATGCCTTCCGACAGTGTCGGGGTTAAAGGCTGAATTGGGGAGAATGTTATACAGGCCTTTAAGTATTCTTCTCTGTGTGATTTTGAGAGAAGTGTTGTGCAGAAGGGGAAGGAGACTGAAAGGAGTCAAATAGAAAGTTTCCGGGGATGAAGACTAAAGTAGTCCTAGCCAACAATAGAATAATACACCTTCTGACGCAGAATCTGACCTTGCCCAATAAACACTCAACTCCCATCTTAACATTCTAATTGATTACGCATATAGAGAATTTCGAATACCCTTTTTCCTAGTTTCCCCATAGATGTGGAATCTGTTTCACAAACTTATGTTGTAGGAATTTCTGGTTAATCATATCTACCAGAGTAGTGAACATAGTGCCCTTGAGTTCTCCATGGATTAATATTGAAAACTATAGAATAAAAATATTACTGTTGACTGTCTTCATGATGAATCAGGTGCTAGTATGACTGAAGATTCCGAGAGCAGAGAGTGTTCATCAAAGTTCACCTTTCCTTTAAGAAGACTCAGGTCGATCCCTGCGTTTATCAGTGGCAATGGGGGATTAAGTTCTGGCCTGTTCACCAACAGGGGGGCTAGACCTGGACTGACCTTCACCTACTTTCCAGTTTATACAATCTTCATGTGGATAGTGCTAAAATTACAACAGCACTGACAATATAAACCTTTAGCTCCCCTTGCCTTCTGTCATCCCAGTGTGATCCCAAATCTAGGAAGTCCGCCCATAAGATAAAACCGACTCCTAAGCACAGGTAACACGTAACATTTCAGTCAGCCAACGATGAATGTGTGATTAATAGTTATTCTATGTAAGCAGTCACTGCCGGAAACGATAAGGTAGAAGCAAAACCCAAGGCAAAGGTGGCAAGCAGGCTATGACAATGTAAACTTCAAAGTAATGGCAAGTGAACTAGTATTATGCTGTGAACGAGACTAAAATGCTGAATCAATTAGACTCACAAGAGAATACAGCTCACTTGTTAGATGTCTTTGAAATGATAAAAGGATGAACTTGAATATTACCATGCTAAGGATTTGATACTTCCTGTTGGCTGTCCTAGGGCACATCTAGTACTTATGTTTGACGATTCGAAAACATAGTTAAATATATATGTGCACTCCGGGCATATGTATGAAAGCAGATTGAGAAGAAATCGAGTCTATTGTTATATATATAAGATTATATACAGTCTAGTTCAGAAAGTGTCCGGGACGCATAAAACGAGACTTGGCTGCATGCATGCCAGGCACCGCAATTGTGCATATGGACGATTTTGCTGGCCACCAGACTAGGGCCAAGCCCTTTTCTGGTTGGCCAGATCTACCGTCTATATGCAGAATTACCGTGCCAAGCCTGCATGTACCTAGCCCACCCTGGGTTTATGCGTCCCGGACACTTTCTGAACTAGACTGTACATAAGAAAAGCTCTGCTTGCTCAGATCCTCCGCTCGCTCAATCCTCCCCTTGCATACATGGATGATGCCCTGCATCAGTATGGCATTGAGCAGTACACAAACGCCCCTCTTTTGGGCATTGCCAGCGACCGTCAGCACATTGGCCTTTGCATTTGCAACGAACCAGAGATCCAGTTGAGGCAAGGTGTGCGACCTCATGAAGTGACTTCGGGTTTTGGCTTTGCCATGTCAATAGTATAGACTCAAGGTAGTTTGGTTTAATACCGGAAGGAAGCCACCCCAACTCTCTAGTAGGGTAAAATCAATCCACTAGATCATTCTAACATTATAGTTGATCTCAGTTAGGATGAGGTTTGTGGACAATCCTGCAGAGGAAAAGATCCGGCGATGGTCGGTAGAAGCTCGATCAATAGTGGGAATTTGCAAGCTGACAAGATTACCTATTGCAAGGTATCTATCTTATGGTGTTGTGCATATTGACTAGTCATCTGCTTGCGAGCTGTTGTTGTGCGGTGGCAGACATTTACAAGCATAATATCTATTAGGAAGTTGAATTAAGTTAGAAGATAAACGCTCATCCTGACTGTTATCTTTATGCTTGTTATTGCTTCATCTTCACCCTATTCTGAGGTATGCGAGCTGGTAGTTCATACTTAAATACAACTTCATATGGGCTATAGCCAGTTGTTGAATGAACCTAACCAAATTAGCTTTATTATAGAACTAGTTCTAAGAATATAGAAATAATAGTTGCCTGTTAATTCATAGCTAAGATTAGTACTGCAAATTTCTCATAACACTACCTATCTCGCCAACTCCAGAAAAATGGATAAAAATGTCGCCAATGAAATTTCATATTGAGGACATTGCCAACCATCAGGGCTCGGAGTTGGATGGTTTGCCACTTGTGTCGAGCTACAATTTCTTCTCATCGATTTTCTTGACTCTTCCATAAATCAAGCTATTTCTCTAGTTGAGCTCCACACTCTGTTCATGGGACCAACGAAACCCATTATCAAATGGTACGCGAGAGACCAGCAAGTGTGTGCATAGTCTGTTCTGTCTCAAAGCTAATCTCACGATCCATCCCTGCAACTACACCCCTCAAGTATGTGATGCCCGTATATGCCACCAATTTTCTGGCACCCCAATCCCTCCTTTAAGTTCTGACTGTAAATCAATCCAACAAATACCCTTCCCTATTCAATTCCGATCAGCTTTCGTTCCCCTGTTTTGTAAGTCCTACCTAGATCTGCTACCCCCGCGCCTGCATGCTCTTGTATGCGTAGGTTCGAATCCTGCCCCTGCCAAAGGTTTTCTAACAGCCAAGGAACAGGGGTTTGTCCTCAGAGGTTTCCCTGTTGGCTTAGTCACCGACACTCTACGGAGTTAAGTCTTGGCTAGTCCCAAATGGTCTTGGTAGTGGTGGATAGGGGGTTAGGGTGGCCTGTTGTTCCGTGGGCAAGTGTGGAGGCAGACCAAGTCTTCTAAAAGATGCGGTAAACGGGGCCGTCTCATAGCCTATCCATAGACGTACAGACTTCAAAAAAAAAAAAAAAAAAAACCCCCCCGCGCCCCCATCCACTGCTTCCCATTGCTAAGCTCTCATGAGGTATACCATTTTCGTTCCCAGACTTGGCGACAGTGCTCTAGGAGCAATAAAGTGAATTATTAACCAAAACTAGAGCGAACCTATTCAGGACAGCGAAATGGGAATACTACTGGCAAAGCAGATCTAAGCGTAGAGGATTGGGGGAACAGTTTGTGCATGGAAATGTATAGAGTATCTTAGTAATGCGGACTTGTTGCTATTATAATGAGATGGAGCATAGGAAGGAAGCGTGTGAGTATATAGGGGCTTTTTCAGGGTAACAGCAAGATCAAATTGCGGGAAATACAAAAGAAATGTTAGTTTTCTTCTTGATGAATAATACTTATATTTGAACTATCTACCTTATGGCAAAAGAATGCATCACATGGTAACTACAAATCCCACCTCCAGGCTCGTTCTCTTCCCACTCTTACTTCTCTGCACGCAAACCACCCCAACACCATCACCGCCTAGCTACGAGGTTGTGCCTCCTGCAAGGTCCACCTGCATCACACACGCGCTAGCAGCTATTTCTGGCAGCTACTGCGGACAGGGCGCTGAATATTTTTTTTTTTTTTTTTTTTTTTGTCTGTATACCGATTCGACCTACTGTCTATCATGCGGCAGTCCCGTTCCTTAACCCGAAGATTAAGTACGCCTACGATACAATGGGCAAACAATCTTTATCACTACATCCACCACCACGCCCTCGCGGCCCTCCCTAAAAATA